TAAGGAAGATAAAAATGGATGAGAAGAGGTTAGTAATAGGTGAGGAGGAATAGTAATGGTCAAGAGGAAATAATAAGTGAAAAGGTAAATACTCTTAAATTGGGTATTAAGGAATAAATAGGACTGGAAATGGGTGACGATGGATAGTAGAGGTGGATGCATGAGGCAATTAATGGTGCCGTCCCATCAACACCGGTTGATGAGGCGGCAGATGGACCGGGATGAATTATGCAAATTTCAGAATGTCAACTGCAAATTCCCTGCCATAAATATTGCCAATTCCCAAACGGAATTTGCAAAAAATTGTGAAAGGCAAATTGCGTTAGACCCGAGTTGGAAATATTGCCAATTTGGGGAGGAAAATTGAATGGAATCTCAGACGTAAAACGCGCAAATTCCTGAACTAGGATTGTGTAAATTACCAGATGTACTCAGAGCAATTTGTGTAATATATAGTTTATATTTAATAAATTATTATAAAGAAATTTATGTTATTATTATTATTATTATCTGCTCTAAAGCCTTTCGACCATCAATTGTTTAATGCAATGACTCTTTTTCACTTGTTTCTCTTGATATATTTACATTTAAAAATGTATATCAAAGATGCCTAAACAACTTGCTTATGTAGTTCGTCTCATTTATGTGTTATACTCTTAAGACTGTTAATGTTCCTTATGAGATTTATGTGGTCCATTCCTGTCTCCTCCCTCTCACACCTACTCTCTCTTCTCCTCCATTCTCCAGAGAAAGAGAGTGGAGCTCTCTCTCTCTCTCTCTCTCTCTCTCTCTCTCTCTCTCTCTCTCTCTCTCTCTTAACGAAGCATCTCTTCTTTCCAAGCACTCACCGACCGTACCTTTCATTCCCATCTGATAACTTTCACTACAGCTGCACATCCTTCCACAGTTGACTGATATAATCTTGCTATAATCTTGCTCACTCACCTCCTTGACAGCTCGGTGGATGCTGACAGTGTGCCACTGGTTGTCGTCGAAGCGCACGTTGTCTGGCCTCACCGTGACCTTGAGGGGGTCTCCGCCCATGTCAAGGGTCACCAGCACGCCCCCCTCACGAAGGGCCATGTTGACGTAGTCCTTGCCGTCTCCTGTCAAGTGAACAAGGTCAAGGTTGATGAGGTTGACTGCGTTGGTGTGTGTGTGTGTGTGTGTGTGTGTGTGTGTGTGTGTG